TTTTTAGACTCATACAACCTCCCAAGATTAAATCAAGATGAAATGGACAGCTTAAACAGTCCAATCACAAGTGCTAACATTCAAAGAGTAATAAAAAAATCTCCCTTAGAACAAAAGCTTATGGCCGATGGCTTTTCCAGTCAATTCTACCAAACCTTCAAAGATAGTTGAAGGCTACCTGAAGACAGTTATCCTACTTAAACTCTCCAAAAAAATCAAAGAGGGAGGAAAACTCCCAATACATTCTGAGACCAAAATTACCCTGATCCAAAGGACAGTACAAAAAAAGAAAATTATAGATCAATTACTTCTGATGAACACAGATGCAAAAATCCTCAACAAAATCATAGCAAACCAAATACAGCAACATATCAAGAGAATCCTCCACCATGATCAAGTAGGCTTCATCCCAGAAATGCAAGGCTAGTTCAACATAAACAAATAAATCAATGTCATTTACCAGATCAACAAAATGAAAGTTTAAAAACCACACAATCATCTCATTATATACTAGGAAAGGGTCCGACAATATTCAACATCCATTTATGACAAAAACCCTCCAAAAAAATGGGAATAAATGGAACCTGCTTAAACATTTTTTAAAAGCCAAAGATGACAAACCCACAGCCAGTATCATACTCAATGGTGAAAAGCTGAAAGCATTCCCACTAAAATCAGGAACCAGACAAGGTTTTCCACTATCACCTCTATTGTTCAACATAGTGCTGGAAGTCCTAGTCAAAGCAGTTAGATAAGAGAAAGACATAAAATGAATCCAAATTGGAAAAGAAGTGAAACTGTCATTATTCATAGATGACACGCTAAACTTAGAGAAAAAAACTCTACCAAAAAAACTAATAGAAATAATAAATGAATACAGCAATGCGACAGGATATAAAATCAATATACAAAAATCAGCTGCTTTTCTATATGCAAACAATAAATCAAAAGAAAGGGAAAAAAAGGAATATAACCCTACCAAAGAGAGTGAAATACCTAAGATAAACTTAACAAAGGAAATGAACGACCTATATGTTGAAAATTATAAAATTGTCAAAGGAAATAAAAGACACAAAGAAATGGAAAGATATCACATTCACATGGACTGGAAAAATTATGATTAAAATAGCCATAGTACCTAAAGCAATTTACAGATTCAATATAATACCTATCAAATTCTCAACGACATGTTTTCAAGGAAATAGAACATTATAAAATTTATATGGAACTACAAAAGGCCCTCAATGCAATCCTGAGACTAAAAAAGAAAAACAGATGTATCACACTTCCTTACTTCAAACTAAAATACACAGTAACAGTAATCAAAACTATGTTACTGAAATAGAAACTCAGACCAATGGAATACAAAAGAAAGCACAGAGAGAAACCCAAATAAACCTGGACAGTAAATCTTTGACCAAGGAAGTAGGCCATACAATGGACAAAAGATAGCCTCTTCAGTAAATGGTGTTGGGAAACATGGAGAGCCATTGAGAAAAAAAAAAAAAGGAAAAAGATCCATACTTAAAACTTAATACATAAAATTTAATTCAAAATGAATTAAAGATATGAATATAGGGCCTCCCCGGTGGCGCAGCGGTTGAGCGCTGGGTTGCGAAGCTGCCTGCGGCCTCTGCGGCGCCGGTTCGATCCCCGGCTGCTCCCCGGCCACTGGAGGAGGGTCCCACATGGCGCGCAGACCTCTCCTGCCGCCCGCTGCTCCCCTCAGCAGTGTACTTCGGTCCTTCTGTCTGCTCTGCTCCCCGCTCTGGCTCTGGTGAATTCTCTCACCCTCCCGCGCTTCTGACTGTACCCAGTGCATGTATAAACAAAACAAACAAGCAAACCAGCAAACAAATAAATAAAGCATGCCTCTATCAAAAAAAAAAAAAAAAAAAAAAAAAAAAAGATATGAATATAGGAATCAAAACCATAAGGTAACTGAAAGAAAGTATAAGGGACACACTATAGGATGTCTACCACAAAGATATATTTAGGAAATTAATAATCTCAACAGCAAGGGAAAGAAAAACAAAGAAGTTAGACTACATCAAAACTAAAAAGCTTTTGTTATCTCAAAAGAAACTGTTACAAAACAAAAAGGAAAACTACAGAATGTGAAAAAATACTTGCACATCACACAACTAAAAAGTGGCTAACCACCAAAATTTACAAAGTTCTTACATAATCCAACCAAAAAAAAAAACCCAAAAAACAAAAAACCCAATACAGTCAAAAAATGGGCAAAGGACCTAAATACACCTTTTTAAAGAAGACATTCAGTCTACAGACATATGAGAAACTGTTTTAATTTCACTTATTATAAGATAAGTGCAAATCAAAATCAACTGAGAAACCACCTCACCCCTGTGAGAATGGCCCATATCAAAAAGAATGGAATCCACAAATGCTGACAAGGTTGTGTTGAAAAAGGAACTCCCATCCACTGTTGGTAGGTATACAAGTTGGTGCAACCCTTGTGGAAAAAGTATGGAGATTTCTTAAGAAATAAAAATTGAAATTTCATATGACTGGACAATACCGCTATTATGTATCTATCCAAATAGTACATGTACAAAAAGATTTATCTGTGCCAGTGTAGACAGCAGCACTGTCCACAATGGTCACGTCATGGATCCAAGCTAAGTACCCTTCAACAAACGAACGAATAAAGAAATTGTGTCATATATATTACAAGGCTGTGGGAAAAAAGATGTAATAGTGGCATTTGGTACAAAATGGATGGTCCTAAAGGTGAATTTTAGTAAATTAAGCCAAAAAGTAAAAGCCAAGGCTTCACTAATCTGTGGAATATAAATAACAAAAAACACAAGCAAAATACAGTGGGAATAATCTTGACCTTCGTGGAAGAGTACAATGGCTACCAGAGGGAACAGGAGAGCAGAAGGAGGGGACAGTGGTTTGGTGGAGCAGAAGGACGAGTGGTTTGGTGGAGAGAATGTAGAACGTGTGCACACATGAAGACGGAAAATGTAACCCCAAATTAAACAAAAAAATTGAAAGCACTACAAATTTGCAACAACAAAAATACATTTCTTATAAACTTTTTAGTAACTTACATTTTAAAGCATACATAAATTATTATTTATCTAACTACTAATATCTAAGCTTATATCTGAGCTATCTAGCCTCTCTGGGCTCAGTCTTCCTCTACCAGAAATATTGTCCACTAAGGACATTAATTTATGGACAAGGAAAAATGGTAACTGAGGAAATATCTACTTTAAAGTTATAAGGGCACACACTACAAATTGTGCTATTTCACAATCCTAAACTTTGGCACTCAGATTAAGATACTGAATTCCACACAGCAGATGACAAAGAGATCATTAGGAAGTTCTGAAGTAGTGCTTTTCTCATCTAAGCAGGTGCCTACCTTTATCTACAAGAATGAGTTAATGAATGCCAAAGGCTATACATAAAAACCATGAAAAGAAAAGATGTTAAAAATGACTCACAAGAAACAGAATAATGTATGTGCAAGGTTAGTGATTACTGAGAGCAAATAGATAAAAATATTACAAAGGTGCTACACAGAAATATATTTTTCATTACACACTTGGGAAAGTGTCAGTATATTGCTTTCTATATTATAGCACTACAATGATGATATACAGAAGTTTTAAGTGCTAAAATAAGCTAAGAACTAAAAAAACATTTTAATTGTATCAAGTGAAAAGATGAGAGTATGATTTTTTAAAAATCAGGTTAAAATGGGCAACAAAATGACCAATTTTTAGCCTCCTTTTCCAGAAAAGCAAAAAAAATACCTGTTTTCTTTAACCAAATTATACATTATTATTTGGGACTGCTAAAACAGACAAAAACTATGAACTCTTCAAAGAAAATGTTCAGTTTAAATACAAATATTCCTGATAATTAATATTCTTAAATAATTTAAACTTAATCAGGTGAAACAAATGGCTCAGAAGGCTACTACTCTGTTTTATGAAAAATAGAAAAGTATTCCACGTGTTTTATCTGATCACCTTAACTACTGTCAAAGTCTTGACAGTATCCTTGAGAGCAACGATAACCAGTCCACTCACAGACAACATAAAGGATACGTGAATTTGTGTAAGCTCTGCAGTGATAACAAAAAAAATTTTCAGACCATATATTAAGAAGCCCATGAAGCAAAAAAGTAATGAGAAAGGGGTAGGGCACATAAAAACTGTGTCAATATAGTGCAGTTTACTTCAAAAAAATTATTTTATTGGATTACTAAGATTATGAAAAGATTCAAGTCTGTGTTACTTGGAGGCACCACTACTTGGCTAATAAAATACTACAACAACTTTGTTTTAGACTGCCTTTGAAATGGAGGTCAATGCTAAAAATAGAACACCTGCCTCCAGAAACAAATACATTTAAACACAATGATAGAAATTTCTTAAATGATTTATAATTCTTTCCATTTCCTGGTTATTGTCTCTTTTAACCATCTCACTACTAATTAAACAATTCTATCTTTTCAGAGATAGGGTAGTAACAGGGAAATAAACCTCACATTTATTGATGGTGGTTGAATTTTAGTATCTAGTTTGCTGTAGCTAACGAGAAGTCTAGTCTGGATTAAGTTTGAAACTTTTAGGAAGCAATTTAATATTTTCCATTTGAGGCACAAAGAGACACTAAAGCTTTGCTAGATGGTAAGCGTACTTTTACGTGAGTATTAGTATATGCAAATAAAAGCAATTTGTATTTTGATATACCTTATTTTTCAATAGAACTAGAGAAGTCTCATGAAATACTGTTTATAGTATTCAACTGTTTAGTTAATTCTTTAGATATAAATTGGCATGGCCCTTAAAAGAGAAAAAAAATGGGTAGGATTTCATGTATTTAAACACAATTATTACAGTCTAGTCTATTCAGTTTTCACTAAAATTAAAAGACAAAACTGGTTACTAAGTACAGTCATGTGATAAATTTCAAGTGAAAAAAAGGTCTAAATAAATGTATTATGTTCCCCTTACCAATATGCGCTCTGTCAGATATGATAAGCCTTTTTTCCCAGCCTTCTAGACCTAGAGGAAAAGAATGGCGAAAGATACATTTAATTGAACATTTTGTCTACTAAGTTTTAACATAAATTTCCTGAAAAATATGGTGAATTTAAATGTTTTTACTGAAGCAATCACTTTTGCTTCTTTTTTTCTATATAAGAAACATGTTTGGGCCTCCCCAGTGGTGCAGCCGTTGAACGCTGGGCTGCGAAGCTGCCCGCAGCCTTTGCAGTGCCGGTTCGATCTATCCCTGGCCGCAGACAAGGGTCCCACATGGCGCGCAGACCTCTCCTGTCTTCCCCGCTGCTCCCTTCAGCACTGTATTTCATCAGTCTGCCTGTTCTGTTCCCCGCTCTGGCTCTGGTGAATTCTCTTACCCTCCCACGCTTCTGACTGTACCCAGTGCTTATATAAATAAATAAATCTTAAAAAAAAAAAAAGAAAAGAAAAGAAACCTTAAGAAAAAAAAAGAAACATGTTTAACAATGATTTTCTAACCTATATTCATTATATATACAAACTCACTCATAATTTCTATCTTTCTAATTGTTTTGCTCTTAAAAACTCTAATAGCCAGCCATATCCACATAAAATACTTCTAGGGATCCAAAATGCAAATGAAATAGGAAAATATCATTTCTTTTGGGGAGAGGGAAAGTTAGGTGTAGTGCAGAAAAATTCTGAGAAAAGAAACTTATTTCTAGGAATAGCGCCCTTTCCCAAAATAATTTTTTAAAGTATGATTAAACAAAATCATAAAATGTTCTTGCTAATTCCTCCAAAATGCGGTCAATTACTGCACTTATAACACTGAATTGTAGCATGATACATACATATATGTATTTCTCTCCATTGGACTGTGAGTGCCCTGAAAGCAGTCATTTTTCTTAGCATACGACCTGGCATCAATAAATGTTCACAAGTGATTGTTGAATGACTAAATAAATGAATCCAAATATTTATCTATTTTTTTATCATTGTCTTTTTCTTTTTTTTAAGATTTATTTATTTATTTATATAAGCACTGGGTATAGTTAGAAGTGCGGGAGGGTGAGAGAATTCACCAGAGCCAGAGCGGAGAACAGAACAGGCAGACTGACGAAGTACACTGCTGAGGGGAGCAGCGGGCAGCAGGAGAGGTCTGCGCACCATGTGGGACCCTTGCCCAGGAGCCGGGGATCGAACCAGCACTATAGAAGCTGCGGGCAGCTTCGCAACCCAGTGCTCAACCACTGCACCACCAGGGAGGCCCCCAAATATTTATCTTTAAAGACAGGACCTTCATAGGTTAAATGCATTCTAAGGATAAGCCACCAAGCGCCAATATTTCAAAACTAATCTTTTGATATTAAAAATTAGTTGCTAATTTTGATAAATGATATGGTTTAAAAATTATTCCTTATAGATTTAAAAAAAAGGTCAATCTCAGTAGTCTGCTAAAAGTTAAAATGATATATTAAGCCTCCCCCATTAGCTGTTTTTGACTTGTAAATATGTATTCTAAAGTTACTTTAGAGACTATTATAAAAATAACAGTAGGAAGAAACTCAGTAAAGTGGACTCAGCTGGGCTAGATAAGGAAAACAGAACAGAAAAAAATAATTAAAGGGTTCAATGAAGGAGAGTGGAGATCAAAATGAGAATTTCAAGTTGACCATTGTAAAAAGCAGACATAACACATAGGTAACAGAGATGTTAGCAAGAGAGGATTTCTTTGAAGTCAGACTTAGTCGAAATACCAAAGGATATATGCTACCTTTAAACCTGAACAATAAACTTTAACAATGTAGTAGAATTGAGCGTTTAAAGAACTAAGAGGTATGAATCCAAATCACACAGTGTTGTAAACCAGTTACCGCAATAAAAAAATTAAATTTAAAAATATTTGTAGTATGGGTATAACAAACAAATAAAATATGATCTATTCTATTTGATAGCTACCTTAAAGGTAAAATTTGCAGATGATGAATCTGCAAAATGGGTCATTTATACAATGACCTTCTTATTTTGTCTTCTGTCTACAATACTGATTATAGTGAAAAAAATTAAAAATTTGCTCTATAATAACTTGTGATATTAAAGTATAAGATAAAAATGTGAAGTCTGATTAGTGTGAAAACCCAATAAAACTTCACACACACCAAAAAAGTGGCTGCCAGCCAAAGCATACTCATACCTTTTCCCTTTTGAACATTTTTGTCTGCTTCCTCAAACAATCCAGGTAAATGAATTACCACACCATTTCCTATAAGAAAACAAATAATTTCAACTTTATATATATATATATCTTTATATATATATCAACTTTATATATATATACCTTAAATATCATACAAATGATATTAAATATAGACATCTAAAATAACTTTATCTATAATAGTAGTGGTTTTGATTTATAGGGCTTTTTGATTTATCAGGAAACTACCATAGAAATGACCCCAAGTTAAACAGAAGTATAACAGAAATATGTAATACAGTATAATATCAATTAATATAACATAAGTTAATGTAATATAATATGATACACAAAATTAAACTCACAGTTTGAAATTTCTTTAAAACCAAGTGTTATTTAAAAAAAAAAAAAAAAAGCTATGTAATTTTAGGTAAGTTGACCATGTCACAGGAGACTCTAGACTGTCTTTTGGATGGGATTATCACAACCTATTAGTGGTCAAAAAATCAGTTTAGTGGGTCGTGATCAGCACATTAAGAATAAAAAAATAGAATAGAAACGATCAGACTGCATCATACAAGGCTTCAGAATCAATCCATTAAACATAGGTGTCTTGTATTTCTTCCCGCATGTCACAGTATTTGGAAACTTGATCTGATGATCTAATACTATATAGAATTCAGATTAACAGTAACACATATATGTACAGTAATTATTCCAAAAAGTATTACTGCTAAACATCTAAAAGATTTGTACAAAACCAAAATTAGGTATATTACAGAAGGTCTCAAGGTCAAAATTAATAAGAAATAAAATACGATCATTTCAATAGTGAGAGATGAAATCAATTTAGGTAATAAAAAATAAACATTACCATCAATTGGGGGAGGGGGAATCACCAAGCAGTCCAGTTATTTAAGATGTTTACTACAATCTCAGTTATACTTACCAATGAATGCAGTAACATTTGGATTAATTATTCCACTGGGTAAAAGATGAAAATCATATTCTACAGAATCTACAACAACTGTATGGCCAGCATTATTTCCTCCCTGAAAAATAAGATAGGGGAAAATTAAATCTGACAATAAATTTGATAAGCAATATCTCCTTTTAAAGTTAACTAATGATTTCCTGCTAAAATGTCAATATAAATTATGGAAACTCAAGTATTTGCCATTGACACCTATTCTGTCAGCTTTATAATAGCTTGGCTCCTTTCCCAAGATAGTATACTTGAGTGATTGTTCCTAACAGGATCTAAAAAATGGAGAACTCAGGTTTCCAGAAGATAGGAAGATCTAGCACTTCCTAAAAGAGAATGAAAGTTCAAGCAGTGAGTAGCTTGTTATTCTGTTTTCAGTACTATATAGGACATAGAATAATCTAATTAATTATCACATAGAATAATCTAATTAATTGTTAGCTAAACAAAGTCCTATAATAGAAGAGTAATTTTTTCAGTCACCTTAATTTGATATAAATATTCATATTATTCCCATTGTCCCAGGAATGTGTCAAGCCTGAAATTTGTATTCTTACTTGGACTTACCAACAAGGAAATCTCAAAAGTAACTCTCAAATACTGGTTAACTAATTTTTAAATTTATAAAAATTTATAAATTTGTGTGTGTGTGTGCAATCTATGAGTTTGGTTAGTGACAGATTTCTTGTATCTATTCATCTCTGCATAAAGTAATACACTGAAACTAGGAATCTCTAAGGCTGAAAATCATACTCTAAACCCAAGGCAAAATTTCCACTCTGTGAAGTCCTATATAGTCAATAAAAAGTGAAATGTGAGAAGTCAAATGATAAAAATTGGCTACAAAGTACTAATAAATGACCAGATAATTTTTCTAATTTTTGCATTTAAAAAGTTTGAGGAAAAACTACAAATAAAAATTGACTACATGAAAGGAGATGCAATGTACAGCACAGGGTCCATAATCAATAATATGGTATCACAAATTTGAAAAGTGCGAAGATGGAAAATAGACTTATTGTGATGGTCATTCCATGATGTTTACCAATGTCAAATCATTATGCTACACACCTGAAACTAAAACAGCATCATGGTATTGTACACTGATATTAACTCAATAATTTTTTTAATTAATAAATTTTAAAAAGATTTATATGCTATGGTTCTAGCAAGTTTATAAAATATGGGTGCCATGTGTACTGCTTGGTAGTGTAATTTATAAAAGCAGCATGTATCTTCTTGAAAAAGCAGACTTGGTAAACTCACATATTTTAGCGTATGTTCATGGAGAAGAAAAATTACCTAAGTAATTGATTATATATCTAAATTTCTATGCAACATTAACAAGAATTTTAAAGTAAAACACAAACTAGGAATATGTTTGCAACATACACTTATGGGACATTAGAAAGTACCAATCAAAACTGTATCTCCTGGGGCCTCCCTGGTGGCACAAGGGTTAAGACGAAACCCGCAGAATGAGTTCGATTCCCTGCCAGCCAGGGAGCTACCCACATGACTCAGCAGACCTCTCCTGACTTGCCCCGCTGCTCTCCTCAGCAGTGTGCTTCAGTCAATCTGCCTGATGTGTTCCCCGCTGTCTCTGGTGAATCCTCTCAGGACAACGCCCCCCCCCCCCACACACACACCTCTGGCCTATACCCCAGGCTCTTGTATGCATAAATAAATAAATAAATAAATAAATCTTTATTTTAAAAAAAAAAAAAAAACCTATCTCCAAAGAATTACTAGTTTAATTTGACAACCAGGTTGTTTGACAAAAAGAATATTATTTACTTTTTACCAAATTGTCACCAATCATGAATTCACAAAAAATGTTAGAAAAAGAGGGTGCTAAAAAAAAAAAATCTTCAAAAAAGCAAAAGGCCTATCTGCACTGTATTTTGCTCTATACACAGAATTTCCTTGCTTGAAAACTAGCATATGCTGTGTATGTTAAGTGGGAAAAAAGATCTGACAATGTGGGCTATAGTCTACAAGATGACAGGTAGTTGGTAAGAAAAGGAATGTTAAGCAATACCTCCTTCACTTGATACCACCAAAGGAACAGATGAGTATTTTATACTATTTTTTAAATAGGTAACATCTAGATAGAATACAATGGCACAGAAGAATTCACAGTAAAAAGTGAAGTCTTTCTCATACTCTTATCTCCCATTTCCTGCTGCCAGGAAAGCAATTACCAACAGTGTTTTTACATCCTTCCTGAGGGACACATTTATATATTTTTAAATTTACATATTTTTATTTCACTTACATAAATGGTAGTGAACTATATACACCTGAGTAACTTGCAGAACCATCTCATTCTTTAAACAGATGACCTGTGCTCTTTTCAAATGAATACAAATTAAAATGGTCTAGTAGGAGAGGCATCTGGATTGCTTCCTATCTTTTATCATTACAAACAATGTTGCACTACACTTTCTGGCACATTTCATTACTTCACACTTGTGCAAGCTCATCCGACTTGTGCAAGCTCATCCGTCACTTCTGACAGAATCCTAAAACATATATTATATATATATGTTTTATATATACAGTGGTGTTAGCCTTGTTTAAATAGTTCACTAGGTAATTCCCGTGTGTGTGTGTGTGAGTGTGTGTGTTTCATTTTCTTCATCTCCTATTCCAATATTAACCTTTTCATTTTAACTTCATGGTTTAGGAAACTTCTCCCCAACTTTAGGAAAAATCTTTTCACCATATAAAGCTCATTAAAATTTCTTTAGAGTCTAGAAAACTGCTAACTTATAATTATTTAATTCTAAATTCTTATAAATTATTAAATTGTTTTAAAGTACTGGTATCTGAGATAACCAGTAAAACATTATTATTTAAGCAAAACCAATTCTTTTTGTAATTTATCATTTGTATAATAGTTTTTTTTAACCTCCTAATTTTTGTAGCTGACCCTTAAGGTAATTCTCCTAATTTAACAAAATTATTTTTATAGTATACTAATATAATCTTATTTGCTGAAATAATTATTAACTTGGTGCTACAAAACAATGTTCTTGCTGTGTTAAAAAAAAAAGGCTATTCTCTTAGTTAATAATTGACCAAGACAGGCAGTAATGATGGCAATGACTATACCTGAGTTTTTCTGAGGCAGGTGGTTGTGACAGATGACTTTATGGGGATAAAATGGTTTAATTCCTTAAATTCTTTCAACTGTATAGGAAGTGGCTCAGGTGGGAAAGGTTCAGCTGCAGAAGCCTTGAAACCACATTTCAGTGAACAGTTTGCTCATTTAACAGTAACCAGACATTTTAAATCACCAATGGTTTATTATGGATTACTATGTGGTTTAAACCTCATTTAAATTGTTTGAATATGAAAATATGGTTAATATTTGAAGTAACCCTAGATAATCTATATACCCATTAGCATATTTGGTCACCAGTAGCCTATAAAGGAGTTGGGGTATGATATCTCTTAATCTTGAAACACAAGTGTAAGTTAAGTGAGCTGAGAAGCTATTCATAAGTAGTTTCTTTTTTTTTTTAAAGAGGCATGTATTTTTATTTATTTATTTTTTTGTTGTTTGTACATGCACTGGGTACAGTCAGAAGGTGGGAGGGTGAGAGAATTCACCAGAGCCAGAGCGAGGAGCAGAGCAGGCAGAAGGACCCAAGTACACTGCTGACGGGAGCAGCGGGCGGCAGGAGAGGTCTGCGCGCCATGGGGGACCCTCCTCCGGTGGCCTGGGAGCAGCAGGGGATCCAACCGGCGCTGCAGAGGCTGTGGACAGCTTCACAACCCAGCGCTCAACCGCTGCGCCACCGGGGAGGCCCTCATAAGGAGTTTCTTGAAAAGTTTCTACGAAATGAGTTTTATTGTCATATTTCACAAACTGTTAACAGATGAAGCTTCAAATCTGAAGTGCCCATTGGGATGCTAACATAAAATATTTATAGATTGTATGGAATATACAAAACTCACCTTGGTAATTGTTCACATATATTAGTAGATAACAAAAAGAAGTTTCACTCTGAGTACCTCTGCCAACCACCACACAACACAAATTACATGGGCAGGTACTACGAAATTCAAGTTTCTGTATTTGTGAGAGAACTGCTTCCCACATGAGGAACTTTATACAGTGTGTACCAAGATGAGTAACCAAGGACATACTGCTTAATCACATTTAATGATTTTCCCAAGTAGCACTGGGGAGGTCAGACAGTACTATAAAATGATGATGTACTTTTAACAAAGATACACTATTCCTTTGTCCAAAATTTTTCCAAATCAAACTCATCCTTCCAAAATAATATTAATCATATACCCACTTCCTTGTTGCTTTGCTACATTCCCATAACACTTATACCAGTCACTTACGTAGCAGTTACCAATACTTTTAATTAGCATAGCTTTCATATTATGTATGCTACATTAATACTTACACAAGTAACTATGTAACAGAAAATAATGTTTCCCAGGTAAATTATATTAATAAATATTTCTTAATAATTCTCAGGTATCTTTTTGAACATTTTAAATTTTGAAATATGCCCTCCAAATCTCCAAGAAACATACAAACAAAACAAAAACATAGTGTGATTCCCAAGTGGCTGCATGTTATTTCACAAGTTCTCTAAGGAAAAACATTAGTTTACAATGCCTTATTTGATTTTTTCTCATATTAAATGCAAATCAGTTGTATTAAGGTGAATATATAAAAGAAAATCCAATCAGCTCTCACCGATCACAAAACATACGTTTCTTTGTATTTATTTTCCAATTTTTTACTATTATTCTTACATTTTGATTAAGTGTATATGAAACATTAAATAGCCTTCTTAATATCAAGAAAAAATATCTATGTCATGAAATACACTACAAAATCATGGAGAGGAAGCATTATGAAAATGGTATGTTCTCAAAGCTGAAAAGCACAATTTCTAAAGATTCAGTTTTTTAAAACCAATATAGTTAATTTTCATTATTTCAATTTTAGTTAAGATAATAAGAAACTAAGTCAAACATTCTTTACTCTAGAAAAAGCACTAGATATCTAAAGCATATTAGACTAGTATAAAG